TGAAATGGGGTTTCCTTTTTTTTTTTTGGTTTTTTTTTTTTTTTTGGAGTGGTTATATGACATTTATTGAGTTTATCTGCTAGAGTGGAAATAGTGTTTATAAACATCCAAATGTTTGTTACTATCTTCTGATGGGGGAGGTCCTTCTGTGTATATGTTTGTCTTATTGGTTGATAAATAAAGTACTGTTGGCCAATGGGGAAATAAGTTAGGCAGGACTAGGAGTCGAAGAAGATTCTGGGAAATGTAGTAAAGAGAAGTCTTGTGATCCAGGCAGGAAGTGACATAGCAGGCAGACTCAGAATATAAGTAGGGACAAGCAGGAAATCTCTCTATCTTCCCCCTCCTCTCTTCTCTGTGGAGTTACCATGTGATAGCTGGCAAGAGAGGACGCTAAGGCTGGTGTCCTCGATAAGTCTTATAAAATATATAGATTAGTAGTTATGGTTGATAATTAAGACTGAGTTAGCAGATAAGAAATCCTAGTCATTGGCCAGCAGCATTGTACCTAATATAAGTCTCTTGTGTGTTATTTTGAGCACCCACATGATGGCGGGGCTCGGGTGGCATTGTGGAAAGATTTATCGTTACAATCTTCCATAATACAATTAAAATCCAAGTGGTTTTTGCCAGGTGGTGGCAGTGCACGCCTTTAGTCACAGCACATGGGAGGCAGAGGCAGGTGGCTCTCTGTGAGTTCAAGGACAGCCAGAACTGCACAGAGAAACTCTTGACTGGGGTGGGGGTGGGAGGTGAAGTGGCTTTTAAAAATTGATTCATGGGGCTGGAGAGATGGCTCAGAGGTTAAGAGAACTGACTGTTCTTCCAGAGGTCCTGAGTTCAATTCCCAGCATCCACATGGTGGCTCACAACCATCTGTAAAGAGATATGGTGCCCTGTTATGGCCTGCAAGCATACATGGAGGCAGAATGTTGTATACATAATAAATAAATCTTTAAAAAAACTTGATTCATTACTTCTGAATCAATAGTTTCTTTTAAGCCACAGTAATACTTAAATAGGATTTAAGAATTAAATGCAGAAGTTTGGTTGGTTGGTTGGTAAGCTAATTAAACTTCAGCCTGCTTAAACAGAATCACAAAGAGGTACAATTGTGTCTTCACAGAGAGAGTCCACTAGATTCACCAATGTTGGACAGCTGCTAGAAATTTTTAGAGCTAGGAGTAGCTCATGCCTCTAATTTTATTATTGGGAGGCAAAGGCAGGCAAATCTCTATCAATTCAAGGCCAGCCTGGTCTGCACAGTAAGTTCCAATACAGCCAGAGTTTTGTGTTTTTGAGACCCTGTCTCAAAAAACAAAACAAACAAAACAAACCCCAAACTCCCCAAATTAACAAAAACAGGCTATTTAGCGTGGGAAGGGTGTTGGGGTTGATAGCTCACACCCATAATCTCAGCACTTAATAGCAGAGGAAGATAATCAAGTTTTCAAAGCTAGCCTTCACTGTAGAGCCAATTCAAGGTCAGCCTGGACAGGGAGGGAGGGAGAAAGGGAGGGAGAGAAGAAGAGGGAGGAAGAGGGAGAGGGAGGGAGAGAACTTAGTGTCCTAAGACAATACTTATCAAGGTACCCAAGTCATTTCTTTTGTTGTCATTTCTTCCCAGTTACAGGTTTGTGAAGGTGCAGGATGACACCACCACTAGCAGTTGTAGCCTTGATAAGAGTCCAGTTCTTCATCTCTTCAAGTAACAAGTAGCAAGTGATGCTTGTACAGCATAGGCATAGTAGGCTGAAGAGACAGCTCAATGATTAAGAGCACTGGCTCTTCTTCCAGAGGACCTGGGTTCAAGTCACAGCACCTACATGGCAGCTTACAACTATCTGTAACTCATGTTCCAGGGCACCAGAAACCCTCAGACAGATGTACATGCAGGCAAAACACCAATGCACATAAATAAAAATTTAAAGAAAGAAAAAAATTAACAAATATATATATAAATATCAAATATATACATGCATTTCAAATACATATGAAATACATATGTATACAAGAAACAGAATCTTGTTATGTAGTCCAGACTATCCTCAAAACCCTGATCCTTCTTTTGACTTAGATTCCCTAGCACAGAAGTAGTCAGGTGCTACCACACCCAGCTTAGAATTCTTACACAAAAACACACAACAGATAAAGAATTAGATTAGGGTGAAACATTAAACATTATAGTCACTTTAAAGATTAGTGGTGGTGGTGGCACATGCCTTTAATCCCAGGATTTGAGTGGCAGAGGCAGGACTAGGGAAAACCCTGTCTAGACAAACAAAACTTAAAAAAAAAAAAAAAAAAGATTTCTAATATTCCTAACTTTATGGCACTGGGTTTTCTCTTCTAATATTTAAATCCAAATAGGACTTCAAGAAGGGTTATGGCAAATCAAAGCATATATGTAAAATTATAAGATTTATTCTCATAAAAACACAAATACTTTGGAAAAATAAATAATTCTAAGTATATAAACAATCATCTCCCATTACTCAATATAAAACAATGTCAATCCACTCTGACTCCTGCCTCTGCCTCCCAAGTGCTGGGATTAAAGATATGCACCACCACACCTCGCCAACTTTATTCTAAAGGGTATGTGTGTGTGTACTCACACACACACACACACACATCTGTAGAGGCCAGAAGTCAATCTTGGATAGGTGCTCCCGAGTTACCATCCACCTAGTGTGATTAGTTTTTGTTTTTCAGCCAAGTCTCTCCTTCCCTGGGACCTGGGGCTCACCAATCAGTCTGGGCTGGCTTGGGACCTCTGCCTCCCACCTCTTCCCTCCAGGACTCAAATGATAAGCATTTAGCACACAGTGTTTTACATGGGTGTTGGGGAGTATTTTTTATAAATACTAAGTTCATAAAATATATTTCTTAAAATGACAATCTGAGCCAGGGGTGGTGGGGATTTGTGTAATTACAGTATTTGAGAGACACAGGCAGGAGGATCAGGAGTTCAAGATCACTTTCATATACTTAGCCAGTTTCAGGCCAGTCTGGAACACAAGAGCTCTTGTCTCAAAAAAACTAAAAATAAATAAGTAAACAGATGAGGTGTTAAATGAGGTGATAAATCCTGGTGCTCACTTTAGGGGCTAAAAAAATGGCTCTGTGGGTAAGAGCACTAGAACAGTACTGTAAGACCAGGCTGGCCTCCAATTCACAGACATTTGTCTGCCTCTGCCTCTGCCTCCCAGTGCTGGGATTAAAGATGTGTACTACCTAGTCCAGCTTATATTAATAATTGCTTAAATGACAACTTTATAATTTTTAAAACTTTGTATAAGTGACTTTAGTATTTTCATGAAGCTAAAATTTAAATTACTTTTTTAAAAAAATTATGAGTATGGGTGTTTGTCTGCATCCATGTCTGTGTACCACTTGTGTGCCCAGTGTCTAAGATCAGAAGAGGGCACTAGGTCCCCTGGGACTGGACTTACTAATGGTTGTGAGACACCATGTGAGTACTAGGAACTGAACCCAGGGTACTCTGGAAAATCAGCAAATGCTTTGTTGTGGTGGTGGTTGTTTGTTCGTTTGTTTTGAGACTGGGTTTCTCTGTGTAACTGCCTTGGCTATCCTGGATCTCACTCAGTAGACCAGACTGGCCTTGAACTCAGAGATCAACCTGTCTCTGCCTCTGGAGTGCTGGTACTTAAGGAGTAAGCTACCACTGCCCAACCAGCAAATGCTCTTAACAACTGTAAATTACTCTAATTTTCATCTAAATTATTTTGTTCTTTTTGCTTGTTTGTTTTTGTTTTTTGAGACAATGTTTATCTGTATTGCTTTGGAGCCTGTCCTGGAACTCGCTCCGTAAACCAGGCTGGCTTCAAACTCAGAGTTTGCCTCTGCCTCCAGAGTGCTGGGATTAAAGGCATGCACAACCACCACCCAATCTAAGTTATTTTATTCTTAATTATAAGGGTGTCTCCAAGTTTAGTGTAAATTAAAAGATTCTATGCACAAAATTAGAGCAATTTGACACCAATAATGAACTCAGTGCTGGAGAGATGGTTCAGCAGTTAAGAGTACTGGCTACTCTTCCAGAGGTCCCACATTCAATTCCCAGCACCCAGATGGCAGCTCACAATTATCTGCAGCTCTTGTTCGGGAATTTGACACTCTCATACAGACATACATGCAGAAAAAACACCAATGCACATAAAATACAAGTAAATAATTGAATAAGCAATGAACTTATTCCATGCCAAATGAAGACAGCCATTTCTTCTAAGTATTAATCTCATAGAGCGAAGCCTCCTCTACTAGACTACCCAAGAACACTTGAGGGTTATTGAACACAATGCTAAATGTTGCAATTAGCTGGCAATGATCCAAAATTTCCTATGGGAAATCTAATTTTTTTGTTGTTTGTTTTACTGGACAGGGTCTCACAATGTAGACCAAGTTGGCCATGAAGTGACAGAGATCTGCCTGGAAACATAATTTTAACCATAAACGAAGACAAAATAGCCAGTTAATTATGAGAGGAACACTTCTTGTCACAAATGAATAGGTCTCATTTATTAGGTTCATAGAAAACATGTAACTGTATAAAACTTACAGGGAAAAATGGCCATATTTGAAAACAGCTACAAGGATTAAAGTAGAACACAGGATTGTAATGAGCAGAGTCACAGAACACACTAAAGAAGTGTGTATAGTCAGTCCCACTGGAACTTGTAGGGTCAAGTTCTTAAGTATCTGTGGAGAGAAGGGAACAGAAAATTAGAGACATTAATAACTCTGGGTGCTCAACTATACATGGGTCATCTACATCAACTCCTACCATTCCAGGCTCTAGAACGTCTCACAAGAGAGGCAGAAAGAAAGAGCCGGAATATGTGAAGACAGCTGTGAAGTGCACACTTCTGGACATGACATGGTTGTTGCCTGTACTGGCTCACAGCAGCTGGAGTGATATGCACCAGACATGAGCAAGATCAAGCCAGGCAGCACCCCAGCACAGCTGGGGAAGGGGCCTCTGAGGCCCCTCTGCAGGGGCTGGGGGAAGGGCTTTTGAGGCCCCACTGCAGGGGCTGGGGGAGGGGCCGCTGGAGACCTACTGCAGGTGGAGGAACTATAGGCAATTGATGGCTGCTCAGGGAGGAAGAGTCACTCTCCTTTGGGGACATGTCACTGGCAGTGAGTGGCTCATGCCCCTGTGGATGGCCACACCACACACCCATGTGGACAGCACACGAACAGCAGTGACTACATCATCATGTTATAAATAAGTTTTTTTTTAATATTTTATTTATTTATTATGTATACAACATTCTGCTTCCATTTATATCTGCACACCAGAAGAGGGCACCAGATCTCATAACGGATGGTTGTGAGCCACCATGTGGTTGCTGGGAATTGACTCAGGACCTCTGGAAGAGCAGTCAGTGCTCTTAATCCCTGAGCCATCTCTCCAGCCCCATAAATAAGTTTTTAAAGAGGACATGAGCTTGGGAGGGTGTGTGGCACTAGGGGAAGCTGGAGGGATGTGGTGGTAGATAGATATTATCAACATACATTGTATAAAGAAAACTTTTTTTTTTCCGTGTCACCCATAGTGGCCTGGAACTCACATTCCTTGTGCTTTAACCTCCTGTGTGCTGGGATTACAGACATGTTACATCATACTTGGCCCTTTCTCCATTTTAAAGTTTTAGTTTTTCTATGTTGGGATTTGAACCCAGAGCCTTGCACATGCTAGGCAAGCACTCCACCACTAACCTAGATCCTAAGTCCTCCTTTTCTAGAAATGGTACATTCTTTTTTGGCTTTGTGTTGTTTTAGTTTGATACAGTGTTTCATACAGCCTAGACAGGCCTTAAACTCACTATAGCTGAGGATGGCCTTAAACTTCTCATCTTCCTGCTGAAGGAAAACTCAATGAATCTGCAGTTTTTCTTTGCCGTTTCATACCTTTAGAAAAGATCCGAGCTACACTTACAGTCTGAACCAATGAGGCATGGGACTCACTCACCACCAGCTGATGATACTGACTTTATCCACTGAGGCCATCAGTGGCAAAGAAGCAATACTGAAACAACCACGTGCTCTGTATTAGAATATAACATGCTAACCCTGAATTAAGTATAGCGGGAAGACTGAATGAGGCAGCACTATTTAAAGCACACAAATCATCTTACTGATTTATACTGCATGCTGTTCCACCGGCAGATCTCCTCACTTTTCAGAGCACAGGGAGCTGCTACTTCTGACTTAGCCCAGCATTTCAAAATAGGGAACTCTGAAAAAAAGGGGGGGAAACAAGATGTCAGGAAACATCGTCTTGCACCTCACCAGGAATCATTCATGCTGGGATATGAGAATTGAAACATCTCAACACAGGGTGCAGATTTGGACCGCATCCATCACAGGCTGCTGTGCTGATGTCCTTTCTTATGTGGATGCTTAAGATACAAGAAATTGCAATGAAGATTCCAGAAGCACGGTCTGTTAACAGATTCCATTAAAGATATAATGTTACCTTCAGAAAAAAAAAAGACATATTGTTTCAAAAACCTGTTCTGAAGGATAAGAATTATATTCAGAAAAATGAACACATATTCAGTACACAGCCTGATAAATTTCCATGTCAAACCCGGACAACAAGAAGAGCACTTAGATCAAAACAAACTATAGAATTCTGTGTTCTCTCAGCAGAAACACTTCTTCAAAGTTTATTTAGGACAAACAATGGTGTCATTAACAGGAACAGAAAATATGAGAGCAGAAAGAAAGTGAATAGAGCATAAAACCTCTAATAATCTCATCAGGAAAGGCATAACAGTGACAACCTAAGATTAAAAATTCCCTCTGCTGGTTATTAGTAACAATGTTGTTAGCTTTTATAAGTAACCCACATTTGGAGATGAGGAAGAAGCAAAATTTGAAAGAGCTTCTTAAACTAAAAAAAGACCTCAATTCTGAGGCACTGTGAAGAGATAATCAACGACAGGACTTTTAGTTTCTTGTTTGAGAACAATTTCAAGTAGCCTAAATTGGCTTTGAACACACTACATGGACAAGGACGGTCTTCAACTCCTGATCCTCCTGTCTCTAGAACCTAAGTTTTACAGGTGTATAAACACTTGGGTTTTTTTTTTTTCCCCTCTTGTATTTTTGAGACAGAGGCTCATTACACAGTTCTGAATGCCTTCAAACTCTTGATCCTTCTATCTCAGCCATCAGAATACTGGATTACAGGTGTGTACCACCAAATACATCTTGACATAGAAACAGAACTGCAGAGTGAGCCCCACAGCTCATGAGCTAAGTCTGTAGCCAGTGTAGGTGATCAAGTATCTCCACAAACAGCACAGGACACAAGAACAACACACAAACCCTCACAGTCCTATGAGCCAGTTTTAAAAACAGAAAGCAGGGAATTTTTAATCTTAGATTGTCACTGTTATGCCTTTCCTGATGAGATTATTAGAGGTTTTATGCTCTATTCACTTTCTTTTTGCTCTGCACTTTCTGGACTCTGCAGTTAAGAGAATTTGCTCTTCTTACAGAGGACCCAGGTCCAGTACCCATATCATATGGCAACATATGTGGTGCATATACATACATGCAGGGAAACACTCATAAGTAAAATAATCAAAGCAGCACTATAAACAGGAGACACCCTTAGAGTAGCAACCCCACCACTCAACGAGTATGGGACAAGAGGATCAAAACTTTCAAGGCTGAGCTGTGAACTGCAAAGAAAGTTTAAGGCTCCTGGTGGTAGTCGTGGCACATGCCTTTAATCCCAGCACTTGGGAGGCAGAGGCAGGCAGATCTCTGTGAGTTTGAGGCCAGCCTGTTCTACAAAGTAAGTTCCAGGACAGCCAGGACTATTACACATAGAAATCCTGTCTCAAAAAAAAAACAAAAAAAACAAAGAAAAAAGAAAAGAAAAAGTTTAAGGCAAGAGTGGCCTATACAGGAAGATCTTCTCTCATCCCCTTCCCCTGAAAAGAGGAACGACCAGCGTTGGTGGCGCACGCCTTTAATCCCAGCACTCGGGAGGCAGAGGCAGGTGGATCTCTCTGAGTTCGAGACCAGCCTGGTCTACAGGAGCTAGTTCCAGGACAGCCTCCAAAGCCACAGAGAAACCCTGTCTCGAAAAACCAAAAGAGGACCGACCAGCTATTACATGTCTACTCATAAAAAATATTATATTACCCCAAAGGAACCAAACATGAATGACTGATCCTATCTCTGGAGTCATCAGTCAATTCCAGGAAATAAGCGTTTTACATGAGTGCAATCAGAAAAGCCCAAACCAGAAGAAAAAACCTTCAGATCAATGGGCCTTCCAAAAGAGTTTCAAGAAAACAGAGATAGAAGGGAACCTGCAAACTAAAGACTTAAGAGAAACAACATTTTTGTTGTTGTTGTTATGGACAATACTAAAATCATACTATTTAAGAACCGTGTTCATTGTCAGTGTTGGTGCAAGCCTTCAATCCTAGCATTTGGGAGGAAGCAGCAAGTGGATCTCTGTGAGTTCAAGGCCAGCCTGGTCTACAAAGTAAGTTCCAGGATACACAAAGAAACCCCATCTCGAAAACCCCCCGCAAAAGAATCATGACCATTAAGGAAGTGAGGGCTGGGGATAGAGAGAAGGCTCAGAGGTTAAGAGCACTTCTGGCTCTTCCAGAGAACCTGAGTTTGGTTCCCAGCATGCATGGTGGTTGGTTCACAACTGCCTTTAACTCCAGCTCTAGGGGATTGGACACCTGATTCTGGCCTCTCTGGGCACTGTACTCACAGGTTCACAGGTTCACATACCCACACAGAGACACACAAATATACAAAGAATGTTAAAAAATCTTAAAAGAGGAAGCAAGTGTTAAACTCAGTAAAGTGAGTTAAATCTTACAGGAAAGAGACTATGATAGGGACAGAATGCATAGGATAGCTGTCTGAGTAGATGGAAAAGTTGTTTTTCGTTTTAAATGTTCTACTACATTGTGTGTGTGTCTCTGTGTGCGTGTATACATGTGTACCTTGCACACATGTGGAAGTCAGAGAACAACTTGGTCTCTCCTTCCATCATGTGGGGCTGGTGGATCATGCACACAGCTGGTCAGGCCTAGCAACAAGTACCTTCACCTGCTGAGTCATCTTAGGGGCCTGTAGAGTTTTATTTCCTGACCTAGGTGGTACTTATAACAATTCACTGAAAGTTATTAAAGGAAGATGCGTTTGGCATCCCTGTCCTTGACTAAGGCCTGCCACCATGCCTTTACTCTTATTTTCAACCCTCACCTTGGTCACAGTACATCAGTAAATCTGGATTGCTGACCACAATCAGGGTGTCTCCATCTTTCCTATGTGGCCGGTGATAGCGATAATGCACAGGCAAAAAGGCCTGGAAACAATCGATGCACTGAGCATCTTTCCGTGCATAAATGAGGACTTCAGATTCTTTGGACAAATAGTCAGGGGCTTCTATATTAAAACTTTCTGACACCATCACTGCCTGTTGAAGAGAAAACAAATATTAATCAAGAAGAAAATACTAATGAAGAAAAATAAAAAAGACAAAAGTAAAACCCCAAGACTGCTGTACACATAGGCAGAAGCATCAAGTGTATTTATTCTGTTATAGGCCATTTCCATTCCCTTTTCATCCTCAGTTGTATGTAGAAAACATAGGATATGATCCTTGAATAAGAAAAGTAAACGAGGGATCAACTATTACAAAAACCATTTAATTTGTGTTAGGTTAAAATGACTGATATCATCCTGGCCATTTCCTGTTCTTTGGTGAAGTAAAATGGTAGTGAGTAAGACAGAGCACGGCAGGCAGGAAGCCAAGAAAAGGTCAGCAACTTTCTAGAGTGGGTATATAATGGAAATGTTAAAAACAACTTTATTTTTGTGGTGCTGAGGCTCAAAACCAGGGTTTTTTACACTCCAGGCAAGGGATCTACTACTGAACAACACTTAACCACTTCAAACAAATTACACACACACACACACACACACACACACACACACACACACAGTGTCTCACTGTTTAGCTAAGGCTGGATTTGAACTCACTCTGAAGTTCAGACTGGCTACAAACTTGAAAAATCTTCTGCCTTGCCCTACCAAGGGTGCTAAACCTCACCCTACCACCTTGCTAAAATTATAGGTATGTATCATCATTCCCAAACAGCAAATTACATTTTTAAAAAAGCTCCAAGATGGCTCCATACATAGGAGGACTTGCCATGCAAGTCTGACCACCTGACTTCAAACTCTAGAATACATGGTGGAAGGAGAGAGCTGCCTCCCAGTTTTCCACCAGGTTGAAGAGACGGCTCAGTAGTTAAGAGCACAAGCTTCTCTACCTTCTAAACCATCAATGGAGCACGCTGGGTAGATCAAAAACGCCTGTGAACTCTAGTCCACAAGAGCTGACACCCTCTTCTTGACTCTGGACACCCACATATGTACACATAAACTCACACAGACACATATGTAAATATCAATAATAAAAATATAAATAAATGTTTTAAAAAGTTGTCCTCTGATTTCTCCATGCGTGACATGGCATGCACACAACATTGAATAAAATAGGGGCTGGAGACAGATGGCTCAGTGAGTGGTAAGAGCTCTTATGAAGGACTTGAGTTTGGTTTACAGTGCCCATGTTGGCCAGCTTATAACTGCCTGTAACTCCAGCTCCAGGAGATCTAATTCCTTTCCCGATCTCTATAGGCACCCACTCATACATGCACACATCCACAACACACACATATGTATACACAACTAAAAACAAAATTAAGTTTCAAAACAACAAAATATTATGTGTTTTTTAAAAAAATTCTAATAGCCTAGCATGGTAGTGTATGCCTTTAATTCTAGCACTTGAGAGGTAGAAGCAGGTAGATTTCTATGAATTCAAGGCTAGCCTGGTCTACATAGTGAGATCAAGGCTAGCCAGTGCTACATAGTGAGATTCTGTCTCAAAAAATGAAAACAAACAAAAATTAAATGTGTTAGAACCATTTAAAAATAACTATCCTGAGCCAGGCATGGTGGTTCATACCTATAATCCCAGCACTTAGGAAGCTGAAGTCTTTTTTGTCTCTGTGTGTGTGTGTGTGCACACTCACATAACAAACATGCGCGTATTTGTGTAGACAACCTCAGGTGTCAGTCCTTGCCCTCCAACTTATTTGGGACACTGCTATGCCAGCATCGCTGGCTTGTGAGCTTTGGGGATCCCCATTAATCCATCTCCCTGTGCCTCCCTTCTCCCTATAGAAGAGCAAGCATCTGCAAACCTTCCGTAACCCAGATGCTTACTCCTTAGCACCTGCACTACATGGATTGTGGGTACTTGAATCCAGGCCCTCATGTTTGTATGGCAAGTGCTTTCATCCACTGAGCCTTCTCTTCAGAGCCTCAGTTATTGTTGTTGTTGTTATTATTATTGTTTTTCCAGACAGGGTTTCTCTGTATTACAGTCCTGGCACTCACTCGGTAGACCAGGCTGGCCTCAAACTCACAGAGATATCCCTGCCTCTGTCTCCCAAGTGCTGGGATTAAAGGCATGCGCTACCACCTCCTGGCTCAGACCCTTAATTATTTATTTGAGAACTTTCTTTCTTATATAGTCATTTAGTGCTATGAATTTCTTCCTAAGAAGTTTTAGTAGCAACCTCCTAATTGTAAAGGTGTTTTTTCACTTATCTTTAATTCACTATTTTTTTATTTCCCTTAGAATATGTCATTATGCTGGGCATGGTGGCACAGGTCTTTAATCCCAGCACTTGGGAGGCAGAGGCAGAGGCAGGTGAATCTCTGTGAGTTCGAGGCCAGCAAGTTCCAGGGATACACAGAGAAACCCTATTTTGAAAAACAAAAACAAAAAAGAAATATGTTATTAGTCCTCAAATACCTGAGGCCTGGAAAATGCCTCAGTAGGTAAAATGCTCACTGAGAATTTGAGGACTTGAGTTCAGATTTCTAGAACCCACATAAAAGCCAGACACAATCCTGCCTACCTTTAACCATAAGAGCTGGTGAGGGATGTGGGGAGATAGGTGGATTCTGGTCTTAGCTGGCCAGCCAGTCTTGCCAAAAAAGGCCACACTCTGAGTCAGTGATGGTTGCTATCTATGGTGGTCTGAATGAGAATGACAGTATATAAACTCACAGGGTTATATACTTGAAAGCCTGGTGCCCAGTTGGTGGTTATCAGGGGAAGATGAGGAGATATGGCCCTATTGGAGGAGGTGTGTCACTGGGGTAGGCTTTTAGGTTTCAAAAGCTTCCACTCACCCCAGTGTTATGGGCTATGCCTCTTGCTTATGGATGAGTTCTCAGTTGCTGTTCTAGTCGCCTGCCACAGACTCTAACATCAGTGACCATAAACCCAATGAAAATCTCTTCTGTATTTGTCTTGCTCTGATATTTTATCACAGCAATAGGAAAGTACCTAATACAGACTCAGCCATAAAAAATAAGATGGAGAGAGACAGAGGAACACATCCCATGTCAATCTGTGGCCTTCACATGTGCATGTACAGATGCAAGCACACATATACACTAAGAAGTACAGCAAAAAGCCATATGCCTTTGCTGTTAACAAAGCCGAGCAATATTATCAATCCCTAATCTTCTTAGATATAGAGAATTACACAGATATACATTAACTTTCTTAGTCACTAAACTATGAACTTAACACTGAAAAGCATTCGACTACCTCAGGTTAGTTGGCTTAGTCCTGACAACTGTTGAAGAATGTGCCTATACAACTACAAAAAAGGTCTTTAAAAACTTTAACAAAACTTAAAGTATAATGTTGTCTTATTTACTATTTTCCTTAATCCAAATCATAGCACTCCTATATTATTTCTCTTTAAATTCTCCAATAGCTGTACCTCTGTTATGTTTTTCTCTCGCAATGAAGCCAACTCATATGGATCCACAAAAAGTCCTGCTGGGATGCGATGTCTAATTAAGAGCCGGCAAGTCTCTAAGTCCTCAATGCTTTCTCCAAATTTCACTTTTATTAAAAGGTCTCTGTAAGAAAAGGACATTTAGAAGAAATTTCTTCACCCAGTTATTAAATAAGATAGATTAATATTACATCCATAATAGCACAGGTACTATATTTTAAATTCGTTTTCCAAAAGTAGATTATCATGTCAAATGAAATACTTATACCACAAGAGATCACCCATTAGATGTCTCACAATTCATGTCATGAGCCATAGCATAGCATTAGTGTAAAAACAGATGAAGATCAATTGAAAGGAATAAAATCAAAAGTAGCTACACATGTATTAATATTTCCAAGAAAAGAATTAATATGATTTGACAGGAAAGCAGCATCTTTTCAACAATGGTACTAATACTGTAGAAAAAGTGTTTACTTCATAAACATCTACAAAAATTAAGTCTGGAAATGGTCGTCAAGAGAGTGCTACTCTTGCAAAGGACCTGAGTTCAGTTTCCAGCACCCATGCCAGGTGGTTTACAACAGCCTGTAACTCTAGATTCAAGGGATCAGATGTCTCTCTTCAGGTACCTGCACTCACATACACATGTTCACAGGTACACACACACCTGCCTTCACACACAGGCCCACAGGTACACACACAGCTGCATTGGCTTAACCATACACACACACCTGCATTCACACACATGCCCATAGGTACACACACCTGCATTCATGTACACATGCCAATAGCTACACACAAACCTGCATTCACTTATACATACCACAGATACACACACCTGCATTCACTTATACATACCACAGGTACACACACACCTGCATTCATGTACACATACCACAGGTACACACATACATGCATTCGCTTACACATGCCCACACATACACACATGCATTCACACACACATACCACAGTTATCCACATACCTGCAGTCATGTACACATAACTTTAAAACTATAAACTGGGGGAGCCGGCACATGCCTATAATCTCAGTCAGTACTCAGACCTATGCAGAAGGATCTCTGCCATGTTCAAAGTCAGCCTAGGCTATTTGGTGAAAACTTATCTCAAAACAAACAAAAGAATGATATGAAATGAGATGTGTAATTGCCTAAGCTTTCTTTCCAGAGGCAAATTCTGCACTACAGTGCAGGGACCCAAGCATGGCATGGTGCTTTTGCTTAGGGAAACAGCAAGATGGGTTGCCAGAGACTGGAGTGGCTGAGAAGTCACAGGACTAAATCCAGAAAGGAGCTTATATTAAAAATAAAGTGGGGGTAGGGGGGTCTGCAGTTGGGATGTATGGTATGAGAGAAGAATAAATAAAATATTTTAAAAGTTCAAAAAATCCAACTAGAAATTCCTTTATTTTGCTGAATGCTAAGGATAAGTATAAATAAGCAGCCCAGAAGACTGAGCAAAAAAGTGACCAAGGAGATGAAAAGTAAAACATTTCAAAATTTCATGCATGATCAGAAAGCATTCAAGTTCTGACCAATCAAAACATAAAACAGAACATTCAGGACAGACTCCCCAATAGGGTAACGTCTGAGACAAATTAGCTCCATGTAACTTTATAACTAAACAAACAAAAAGTTTACAGGATAAAGCTGATATATTAAAACCTTTACTGACAGCGGGAAGAGGCTTGTAGTCTTTAAAGGAAGAAAACAAGGTCTATAAATATCAAAGCTTTGACAGGGTCCAGTCTAATCAAATGTTATTACACACATGTCAAGAGTCAAGAACGTATGAGCAACCACCAGGAAGATACCAATCAGACAGAAAGAGACCAGCTGCTTTCTGTCACGTCATCCTGTGATGTCCAGTGCTACCTTTACAAGTGGCCAGCAAGAAAGCCACTACCAGGTGTGGCCTCTTGGGCTGGTTAAAAGTTTTTGTTGTTGTTGTTAATAGAAGCTAGAGACATCTGGGAGGAGGAAACTGCAATTGAGAAAATGCATCCGGGGTGGTGCCTCCCTTGGGCAGCTGTACAGACAGCAAACTGAGCAAGCCAGAAAGCAGCACTCCTCTATGGTAATTGACTTCTCTCAGTGATGGAGTGTGACCTGAGAATTTTAAGATGAAATAAACCTTTTCCTTCCCATGTTGCTTTTGGTTCTAGTGTTTAATCACAGCACTAGAAACCCTAACTCAAGACCTACTTAAACCTTGTACCTCCAGAATAAGGAGCCGAAACAAACCTCTTTTCTTTATGATGTTAAAAAGGAAATGGAATGGCAAGTGGACATTAAAAGTCTCTATAAGGGACTGGAGAGTTGGCTCAGAAATTAACAGCACTTGTTACTCCTACGAGGACCTGGGTTTGGTTCCCAGCACTCACACAGTGTTTCACAACTGTCTGTGACTCCAATTCCAGAGAGTTCAATGCCATCTTCTGACCTTCATGGGCATCAAGCATGCATGTGGTACACACACAGACATACATGCAGGCAAAACATCATAAAATCAAATGAATAAATCTAATAAAAAAATTTTAAATGTTTATAAATATACCTAATATGTCAAGGGATTTAAAGATAAGCAAGAACATAATGAGGGGAAGGGAAGTGTTTTTAATAATTATTTATTTTCTATGTGTATACATGTGTGGGCATGCATTTGCCATGATTCACATGTGAAGGTCAGAGCACAACTTATGGGAGTCAGTTCTCTCCTCCCACCATGTTTGTCCTGGGGCTCCAACTCAGGTCATCAGCCTTGGCGTTGGCGGCAAGCACCTTTACCCACTGTGCCATTTAACAGCCCAACTTTGTTTTTAATTTTTAAAGACTTGACTGTAACTTCAAAATATGTAAAAATAAAATTTCTAAATGTGTGATTAAAAGCAATTAAATATTGAATAATGAAAGACCAATGACTAGGAGACAGCCATAGAAAACCATGAAAACTGGAGCATAAGAAGAAGAAAAACAAACAAAAAGTAAAAAGTCTGGCAAGGAAGAAGGAACTAAAGCAGTGAACTCAAAGGTCACAATCTGCTTAAATGGCACCTGGGAAAGACAGGGAAGGATACAAAGGGCCAAAAATTGTTCAGATTCCGTGAGAACTATGATTTCATAAATCCAAGAAGCTCAAGCAGGGAATACATAAACAAAACCACACCAAGGCATGTTACTGTACAGTCACTGGAGACAAAGGCTATCAAAACAAAAGAGCTACAATATAGAGAACAACAAAGACAAGGATAAGCCAGAAGAGAAAGGACGTATCAGTCTGGAATTGGCTATCCAAAAGCAAAACATACTGGATCATAAACAAAATGCTAAGAAGTGATTTTTCAAGATAATTAACAATAAAAATAAAAGTAAAACAAGCCAGAAATCATGGTAGACACCTCCAATTCCAGCAGCTGGAAGGCTGAGTCAGAAGGATCACCTTAAGTTCCAATCCAATGTAAGCTACTCAGCAATATTTTGTCTCAAGAAAGAAAGAAAAAGATAGCCATGCACGCCTTTAATCCCAGCACTGGGGAGGCAGAGGCAGGCAGATCTCTGAGTTTTGAGGTTAGCATGGTCTACAGAGTGAAAACCAGTACAGCCAGGGCTACATAGTAAAACCCTGTCTCAAAAAAAAAAAGGAAGGAAGGAAGGAAGGAAGGAAGGAAAGGAAAGAGAGGGGGGGGGAGAGAGAGAGAGAGCTAGCCAGCCAGCCAGGCTTGGTGGTGTGTGTACACACCTATCACCCTAGCACTTGAATGCACAGGAAGAGCAGGAGTTTGAGGTTATCCCAAACTACATAGCAAATTTGAGGCCAGTCTAGACTATAAGAGACCTTATCTCAAAACAAACAAACAAACAAACAAAAAATAGAAACAATTTTTCAGTTCATCTATATTTCAACTATTCATTTCTTGATGTAAATTATGAGCCAACATTTTTATATAAGTAGAAGTCAATGGGCAACTTACCTGTGGAAACCATCTTTCAAAAATTCTTGCCTCAAAATGATTTCAGAACAAGTGGCCCTTATACCTATAAAAATGAAGATGTTAAAAATGAAAATGTGCATATTAAAATGAATATTAAATAGAAAATAATTACTAGAATAAGCTTTACTAACTAGAAAAATCTAACCATCTAACAGCAAGGTAAAAATTTCAAATGAAAGGGGCTGGAGAGATGGCTCAGAGGTTAGGAGCACTGGTTGCTCTTTCAGAGGTCCTGAGTTCAGTTTCCAGCAACCACATGGTGGCTCACAACCATCTGTAATGAGATCTTGTGCCCTCTTCTGGCCTTGCAGGGATACCTGCAGGCAGAACACTGTATTCATAATAAACAAAATCTTTAAAAAAACAATGTCAAATGAAAGCAGTTTGAGCTACATATAAATCTACTTCCAGTAGTAAGTACATCATGGAGGTAGTGAATATCACCACAGGAGTTGACTTGTCTGGTTTCAGACCCTAGTCCATCACTTTGAGTTAGACAGTTCTCTCTGTGGTTGTCCTAGTAATTTAATATAGGTAGAATCAGTCAGAACAGAGCCACCATACATGAAAGACTTTATCCTTACCATCCTAAGAAATCATCCGAGCTCACCAAACCTTATTAGAGATATAAGGACAACTTCTGTTTTCTTATGTCCATACCTACAAATGTTGGAAAATGGTACACTCATGCCTTGTGAAGATGTTGGGAAAAGTTTTTTTAAAAAGTAAAAAGCACAAGAACATGAGAGGCACCTGAAGATTCAGAGTTCATTTACAAACTTGGGATAAACAGGAGTCGTCATAAACTGATGCCATGCAAATTTTGGACACTAAAACTATTACCCAATGACTAAAAATTCAAGACTGGTGAGGTGGCACACACCTTTGGTCCCAGAATACGACATACTAAGTTTCAAGACAGTCAGGGTGACACAGACTCTGTCTCAAAAAAACAAAACAAAACAAAAAAACAAAAAAAAAAAACCTCACTATTCAGTTGCTAGACACCTTGCTATAAAACTTTGGCTAGAAATGTTCGAGAAGAACATTAAACCAGAGTGAAGCACTACATAAACCTGTTACTCAGTAACTTGAAGAAAAAAAAAAAAGCATGTGTAGCCAGGAGAATAAAAACTTGTAAGATTCTCGAGGGTCCTTATCAACAGTATAAAAGGGAGTCAACAGTTGCTGGGGACAAACTGCAGAGAGAAAGAGATGGGGGTAAAAAAAAAAAACAGATATTGGGGCTATGGAGCTCCAGGGTTGCAGTTTCAGGGGCGGGGTCAACCATGTTGGGGTGGATTTTTTAGTGATGCAGATTCTTTTGAGTTATCCCTGCTCCTTGCAAGTAACCCTTCACCCACATTCCTACCAGTAACCCCAATAAAAAAAATTCATTGGTTCATCAAATTGGCTACTAGTACAAAGGTTACCTTTCTGGAGGAGCGAGAGAGGGAGGGAGGGAGGGAGGGAGAGCGGCATCTCCCTGGGAAGTCTGTC